GCTGTCGGGCCGGGACGCCGGCAGGACGAGCGCCTTTCAGATGTCACCTCCCGCTGGCTCTGCGCTGGGCCGGGAGGAGGACGGGGGCAACGCAGGGCCAGGGCAGCCGGGCGCCTTGGCCCGTGCGACCCTGCAAGGCGCCGAGCTCCGCTGCAGGTAAAGTGGTAGAAGAAACATTAAACCCAGGAAAGGCTTGGCCGATTGCGGTAACGTCGAGCGCCAACAGCGTGATCAGCGCTCCCGGGGCCTGTCCCAGCAGAGCAGCCTGCGACGGACGCAGCTCGGGCTGCCGGCGGGGCGAGCGCAGCCCCGCTTTCTGGCTGCGTGCTGGGACCGCTCAGCTGGGCTTTCTCCTGGGACAGGGCAGAGCAAGGAAGGAGCAACCTGACTGCCAGCCTGCCAAGCAAAGTGGAAAATAGGAAGGCCGCTGAGAGGTAGGCGTGCACGCTGTGCTGGACCCGTGTTTCAGCAGACTAATGCAGTTAAATGCCGTTCCCAGGAAGAGCTGAGCCACCAAGGAGTTTCCGGCAGGGCTGATAAAGCCCTACTCAGGGCAAAAACTCGTTTGGTGGAAGGCCGCTGAGAGGTAGGCGTGCACGCTGTGCTGGACCCGTGTTTCAGCAGACTAATGCAGTTAAATGCCGTTCCCAGGAAGAGCTGAGCCACCAAGGAGTTTCCGGCAGGGCTGATAAAGCCCTACTCAGGGCAAAAACTCGTTTGGTGTCAGCACGCTTATCTACACGACCTGACACGCTGAAGAGCTGAACGCCTGCAGTTCGCATCCCTCCAGCAGTGGCAACATGTGAAGAGACATGTCTCCCGGCCACTAATCACAGCCACCGAATCAGGCGTAGTTGCAGCATCCGAGGCCAAGCCCAAGCGATGGGCGACAGCCAGGCGTGGGGCGTTCAAGGGACGGAGCCACGCGCACGGAGGCCGACTAGCCCCGTCTCTACAAACGTCACGCAGGCTTACCTCTGAAAAGGGGAGCGACTTGTCTCCCTAGTTTTGCTCTGGAGGTTACTGCAATGCCCCGCGGTGGAGAACCTGGAGAAAAGCTTTTCTCCTCGGGGAGCCACGCGCGGGCACGAACCCAGGGCACCGCTGTCCCCAGACTGCAT